GCAATGTCTATGAAACACATGTACTCCATGATATGTATGGGTAAGAAGTCGTGCCTGCTATTTGAAATATCGGTATTATAGGGTAGTCTGTAGTGGATTTATTTGTGGCGGGTCTCTCAAAATAGAAGCAGCAATAGTAATGACTGTTATTATCGTTTTTACCCTCTTTAAAGGTTAAAGCGTCAATATGATACATGGCGATCTAAGATCTTCATGCTAAAATGACAAGTACATCTAAAGAATATCTAGTCAAGTGAGCACCTAATTTCATAATACCCTGTGGTACAATATAGAGGACCTTTTTCCTGTTTTTATCTTGTCGCAAACCATGCATCGGATATAGACGAAGACGTCGCATAACATCATAGCTGAACCCGAATAAACGGAGACCTATTTGAACATAAGTATTCTACATACAATAGTAGCAGTCGTATATATAATATTAATCGTAACAGAAAAAGCAGACGACAACATAAAACCGAACATATCCATACGAATCGCTAGGCCAGAAAATTTCGTAACTTTGACTAGTATGCACCTCTATGACTGCCAACCTATCGAAACCGAAACGGACAACCGGTACTCTTCTTGCGTCGAGTATCCCATCTATCGCCATAGTTCTTTTTTTGTATGGAGACTCGATTCCAATCTGTCAGCCAGCAGACAAGTCATTGTCTGGTTTCTTCCTTGGGTTTGGCGCCATTCTTATTTAGGGATCTTAACTATCGCCGACAATGGGTTTGCGAACATCCTACAGACGGCATTCTCGTCATCTGCTTTAGCTAGTTGACCAAAAAACGTCGACCGTTCAAAGACACCTATCAGTGATCGAACGCACTCGTGATAAACGGCCAAAGCAAGAAATGTAGATTCGTCACTCTCTGCCGTCTAAGTGTTTTGATGTTCCAGAGCACGATATATTGCGAACCACTATAATTTTAATTGATTTCATAAAGGCCTTGTTGATATGAAAAGGTATATACGAGGTCTGGTTGATTTTGACTGCCGACTTCACGACAGGTTTTCATATTTGCCAGAAGAACTTGTGCATCTAACAAAATAGAAGGGTTTAAATAAGCCTATACATCCATACCGCTAACGTTCACAGTCGCGTGAGCCGTTACCATAAAATAAGGAAAACTGAATAGACGGGCATATTGCTACTGCTGGGCCACTTTAGCCAAAAACTCGACGAAAATTTATCAGTTCCGAGGCGACCAGATGGAAAGTAAAAGTTTAAACGTCCATACGTTTCACACGCGACCTTTCTCCATTGTGGAAAGACGAATGTAAGTATTGTCACTTCGTTAGCTGGTCGCTAGAGGAACAACCGCCGTCATTGTCGTTTTTACATTGACAAGAGGGTTCGTTTCAGTCGTACACAGAATGGGGGATAACGTGCAAACGTGCGGAAGCAACGAGCCACCCCCGCAGAAGGTTGACCATGACACGAACATTGCCCTTCCACAGAACTGCTGGCTGGTGGCACAGCATGCAATAGAAAGTGGGATTTTGCATGCGGTGAATCAAGATGAAACCAAGTGGCCATTTACAGAACGATTGTTCATTGGACTGTATCTCCCGATGCAAGTTGGATGAGTTTTTCATTGTTAAACATCCATCTTATCTAGCGTTGGGAGAATACCAACTCGTTGTTATGAATCGACCACACTGTCTGGTGGAACACCTTTGAAAGGATCAACCGAACCTTACTCGATTCTCTGATATCGCATTCGATTACACACCAGATTTTTGTTTCTAGAAAAATTAATTTTGTTAATAATGATAAATTCAAATTCCTGCCCGATGTGAGCTTAATCACCTCTACGTTTTGAGTTTAGAGCCGTGTGGCATTTCATCAGACGACTGGCTCCCATCACGAAACGAAGTCTGTTTATGTCTAAACTTAATCACCTGCTTTATCTTTATGCCGCTTCAATGATTTCGCGTGCATATGATACAAATATTGGAACGCTATTATATACGTCTCTCAGCGTGCGATTACCTGCAGAAAGAGAAGCTAGAGAATTTATATGGGTCTTTTAATGCGAGTTACTGGTGCACCCCATATAGAGAACCTTCTAGGAAACAAGGGCTCATGGAAGCTGCAAGCGCAAGAGTTAAGTGTTCATATTTTCGATCGTACCTCTATAATTGGTTCACAGAATATCAACTGCGGGCATCTCAGCACCGAGTCAAAAAAGTTATCTATCTGCCTTAAAGTTCGTACGTGTACTGAATCGGCATGAGCCTTTTGGCTCTCGCAATTGCTAACTTTTTCCTTTCAGACTCGGCACCGTCGTAAAGGCCCACACAATAGACGAAACTGTAATAGGGAAAAATTCACTGCAGTGAAATCTTAATCTTAAATCTCACAAAGTGGGCGCGGTCTGTTTTTTTTTTTAAAATAATTTCTGTATTTTATTTAACTCTTTTCTCGTATACTTAGTTTGACTGAGCTGATTATTATATTTATTCATACGTTCGCTTGTAAAAGAGCTATATTAAGCATCAGTATATATATATATTGACGCTTCCGATTGATAGTGTGCTAACGCTTTTAAGTACACCAATCACGCAGGCACAGGGTTTACCGCTTCTCCCGCTCTTATGTTTAAGTTATAATCGCTAGTAATATTCATTTTTATCGTTCACCGGAGGAAAATCTGTCCTACTGTTCGTCCTATTCTTTTGTACTTCGAAACGCAAATATGGCGCCATACAGTCAACCGTTACCATAATCCATTGCACCTATCATACTGGTTGACGATTTCTCCGCTCTAATTATATTTCAATATTACACTGTGCAGTACCTTTTTCATTTACAAACAGTTCACAATGAAAAACGTACTTAACGTACTCTCCCAATTGCTGCTGATTCATTGTCTCTCATAGTTTCCTCATAACCAATGAGTGGGATGATTAAACTTGCTTACTACGTGCGTCAATAAATCTAAATAGGGACGTTTTTTACATGTTCGAATGTTTGTCACAATGGTTGTTTTTTTCCTTCTCTGTTTGTGCGTAATGAAGATGTGTGTCCGTGTATTTTAGATGAACTCTCCATCATATGTTCGCCGTACCTCTATATATTGCATGCATATATATGTACGTATGGTTGGAACGAATGACCATTGTAGTAGTAATAGCGACTCTTACGAAACCGCTGCAGGTGCCGGAATTGTGTTGGAACTCATTGTGTCCAAAAAGGGGCGCATCTTTTTCCCTTTTTATGGTTGCTGTTAAAACATGCTACCCAAAATGTGGAAAGTAGAAAAAATTTCACAAAGGGGAAGTCGCTACGGAGACTTACTTGTAGAAAAAGCAGTTCTTTTTTTCGATGCCTAAGATGATGTCCGAGATGAGATCAGCGTTCCCAGAAGCTCCAGCGTCCGCCTCGTCTACATCGTAGAAGCGTCCTGCGGCAGAATCGCGTGTGTTGACGCCTATAGAAGTGAAACGACACAAGAAAAACGAGCACCAAGTAGCAACACAAGGGGACAAGGTACAAAAAAGAAGAGTATTACTGTTAGGACACTGATGGTAATCGTAAAATTTGTAATGTTGGAAAGGAAAGCTTCAAGAATCCCGAGAGTACCCCATGAACATGGAGACAAAACAAGAAAGAGACTAGAACAGAAACTAAACTGACTGCAAAAGACTAAGGCGCCACTAGAAACTAAGGGACACGCAGCAAAAAGGGACCGCTGTTGGCGAAGGGAAAGCGTTAGAGGACACCGCTGAGGGCGGAAGGGCGCTAGCACAAGCGGCGACTACAAGTTCTAGCTACCAAGGTACAAAGGCATGGAAAGGGGTGGTGAAGTCGCATGTTCTACTGCAACAGTAGTGGCATCGTCCCTGTCGAAAAAACGAAGGGAACAAAGTGGCAGACCGTTGGTGAAGGCGTTGAGTCGTGCGATGTGTCGGTGCTTTTAGAGCGGCCTTGATCGAAAAGCGAGAAACAAGTGAGAGAGAGAGAGAGAGAGAGTTTTTCATTAAGTGAGTGCATTTCACTTGAGCGAAAGAACGTCGACGAAAAAGAGTCGAAAGGAAACCGACGCAAGCAGCGTGGAAGACTAAAAGAAGAAGCTAAGAGGCAGGCGGTCTCAGAGAAGCTTTCTGTTGCTAGCGACATTTAGCAGGCGCGACTTTTAAAGCGATTTTAGTTCAACAGAAACGAACCAACCGCATCTGCTAAACTTAAACTAATCAGTCGCGCCAGGCGACTGCCACTACAGCCATTGTCATTTCCGTTGTTGCCTCCGACAATTCAGTGCACTTATTTCTACGGCCAATATGTGTACAGCTTAGGACGAATAGCGGCTCCACTTTCTTTCTCCGCCACAGTTCCTACGTAGTTATTCGTGAGGTTCTCGGTAGCAGAGTTGCGCGTGTCCAGCGCCTCACTCGCTGGATTCTCAGCACTAGGCTGTAGGAGTCGAATGTCACTTCAGCACCCGCCCGCCTTTACGAGAGGCACCCTCTAGTCGACTCGAATCGATTAGTCAGTCTGACCCAGCTACTATTACCACTCGAAACTAACAAACGTCGAGCGTGTCTCCTTCCAGGCAAATTGAGGATTTCAGAGGAAACTGTTAGAGTATAGGAAGAGCCACACGATGGAATATAACAATGAGGGGAAGAAACCAGGAACACAAAGGAGGCGGGTGGATGGAATAAGGATAGAAGAACGAGAGTAGCTGAAACGAAAGCGGACGAAACAGTTCCGCTGCTGAATACAGGAAACGACTAAGCATGACTGCTATCACTATTGCTGCTGCTTCTGCTCCGAAAAGAAGCACCAGAAAGCAGAAAGACAACAGAAGCACAGACTCACCCTCAATTTGACGAACCACGCACAACAATCTTTGGAAAGCGCTCTTAGACAATTTGAGTGCGTGGCTAAGATGACTCTGGACGCCTGCGAAAAATCAATTAAACGGATTAGTACCTTTAATTTGATGCTCTCTCTACCAGGACGCATTATTAAGAATAGTACTTGTGCGCCGTCCAACAGACGGTGAATTATAAGTGGCTATAAAACGGCACACAGTTGGTGAATTAATAGCCTCAGCACTGATACTTATTAAACTCTAAACATAATGTATAACACACAAGTGTACGGGGATAATGGGTGGTAGATCATGTACATAAAAGCGTGACAATTCCGAATGTTTAGTAGGAATACCGAACATAAGGGTCAAACTTTTTTTTCTATAGTACGCTAATATGTATCCAGACATATCAGAATTCAGTAGCAATTTTCGATTCTGGATTGATAGTTGCTGGAAAACGTACATAAGAAATGGAAAATTAATAGAACTTTTGTGTCAGTAGCATGCTGTCTGCAGTCTTAAGGCTATTATGCAACTAACAGATTGACAGTGGCGGAGAAGAATACGTTTTATGTTTATCGAAAGACGTATGAACATTTATCTTTTCACGGTTAACTAAAGGCAGAGTATCTGCCCTGTTAGAAAAGTTAGAAGCAAAAAGCCCTAAAGCCTTACATGTGCGTTGCAGTTTCTTTGCGTTATCTCTGGACAGAAAACCATCCTCAAGCGCCGTACGAACCCCATACTCCAGTACTTTAGCTACGCTGTCTTCCTCCGCCTGATCCTGGTCCACATTTGAACTTCTGAAACAGTGTACGTTGTGAATGACAGCGCACAGAGCTCATGATAAAGACAAAATTTCGTCGTGCTAAAAGCTAGGCCTTATAAACAATGTTGCTCTTTTACGGGCAGGCATTGTCAACAGGTGAAAACAGGCTGGGTTCTTTTATATATATAGTTCCAGCTAAAAGTAACTAGTAGGACCGGCAGTTCGCCACGGAAGTTACATCTGGACTTTGTCAATTAATAGGCTTGCCACTGTTTAGCATTAATCGTCAACCACATGTTCACAAGATAATTCTTATACACGAGCTTTACAGGCATTTCGCTATAAATTTCTTAGATGGGGCTGGGTCTAGGAAAAATCGTTCTCTACGAGTCGCTGTCATTTCAGAGCCATTTGTGTTATTTTCGAGATTTTTTCAGTCTGTCTGCAAATAGTGTCACACGTCTAATGACGTCTTGGTGCAACATTCATACTTCAAGCTCTAAGGATAAAGTAGACTGGTTCATTAAATGTGTCGTGGAACATGCGTTCTCCGCCTCGCCAAAGACGAATCATCATAAATAATCATACGTGTATTCATGTGTACACGAGTCCTTTGTGCAAGATGAACATAAATGGAACTAGGTTGAAATCCATTAGCAACACTACAAAGTAGAGACGAGACGTCTTACCGGTTTGGTGGTTCGAGACAGTACACGGGAGGAATTGCGTTTTCATCAAGGGTGTACCAAATTTCCAGGGCAGATGTGTCTAGTCCAGCGTCCTGGCAGCACATGAGAATGTTTGAAAAATCTGCGACCGGTATTGTAGGCGGCAAGACCAAAGGTCGACTCTTGTTCCCAACGAGGCACTGCGCATAAAACAAATAGATGCTCACTTCAAGAAAGTCAAAGATCTTCGAAGCGTTCTACAGTAAGAAACACAATAGCTTTAAAATTAGCGGCGTTCGGATTCGACGGAATTGTGAGAACCTTTACAAGTTACCCGAGTAAGTATCGCGTACCCTGAAGGCGGAAGAATGTATATCTACGCGGCTTTTTACCACATTTGTTTGGTATTTATATAGAGCCATATTTGGAGGTCTCTGCAACTAGTGCTGCGATAAAGAGCTGCTCAATTCGTTCTATGTAGATGTCTACTTATCTTTCGAATTTCGTTAACAGTGAATATTGTACGACTCAAACTCCCGACTCTAGTCATGCATTAAAGCCAAAAGCAGATCTCCAGACGTTTCAAGCCTTCCAACTTTCACTGTTGAAATTTTAAATAAATCCGACAAATATACTCATGTCTTCGTTTCAAAGTAATACATACATTATTATTTATAGAACGACGTTTTCTTTTTATCAGAATTACAACTAGTACATTTCAAGTAAAACGAGCAAGAACAAATCAATCTACTTATTTACGTCTGTAAGTCTGCTTGTCTTCCAGAGAAAATGGTTCATATTGTAAGTGATACGACTTTTCATTTTCCTTAGAGAATAGATTTTCCATATGGAGTAACATCACACGTAATCAAGCGTTCCTAGCACTTCGTATCTTCCCTTGACATCTAGGAAAGCGAACGTAGACAAAACGCGCCGACTTATCACTGCTGTTGAATAGATGTTAGATAGGCGAAAATTATGCTATAATTACTATAGCGTTCGGCGTTACTACACGAGGCGAGGAGATAGCTCGCCTTAAATGTCTTCACATGAAAAGTCCTTCACGGAAAAATCGTCCCGCCAGCTTAGTTAACCGCCCACAGAAGAACTACATGCACCACCCGGGTCGGTGTTGACTCCTTGGCACCATGGGTCTCCCCTCAAACTTCGAGCTAGAGCAAAGGGTAACATGGCAGAGGTCGGCAGCTCAAAGTTATACACGCACTCTGGCTTCAACGACAGGCATACGCAGGCGGTTGCAGTACTGGTTGTAACAGCTGCGGCCTCATCCATGATAACTTTTTGGTTGAAGAGGGACGTGAAGCGAATGAAGCTCCACACGGCAGAATTTGTGGGATGGAAGGGTAGAAGAGGCCGATAAACCTAGCCACACGGAAACGTGGGGTGTGTGTGTGTGTGCGGGCTCGCGGCAGGGGGAAGCGGACGCATGACAACGGCAAGGCGGAAGAGTATATCTAGTGATGATGAAAAGAGCCGACGCGTTGGCGCCATATCCCTATTCCACATTGCCGACAGCTCCCGTTGAGGGAACTGCAGCTTGTTGCTACTGCTGCTCCGTTCATCGTTGCCAGCAACGGCTGCTGCCGTCGCCGCTAAAGCCGCCGCATCAGATAAGTGAAGTCTGTCGCAGTGATGGCGGCAGTAGCAGCAAGAAACACCAAAATAAAGTGAAGAAGCCAGCAGAAGTACTGGCAAGAAGGCCAGTAGCCAGCAACGATCGGTACGTGTTGTGTTGCGGAAGTGCAAGCATAACATCTCTTTTCATCCTATTCGCGGGCCCGCTGCTGCTGCTGCTGCTGCTGCTGCCTGTACCAACCCCTGCCTGCGTTTGCAAGGAAAAACTCCAGGAATAGAAGGACAGCCCCAGGAGGTAACGGGCGGACGGGGAAGCTGGAGGCGGCGAGGATGCCGCTGGCATGTGGCGTCACCCATTGCCACAAAAAATTTGATTAAACCGCAACAGAAAAAAGGAAGGCTACAGCCCACAACTGTAGTGTCTATAAAAGAGAATAAAGCTAACCGCGACTGATGTGGTCACTTGGAGTGCGTACAGCGGAACCCGTTACTCTAAAAGCAAGCGAATCCTCTATTTGGCTGAAATGTTCTACTGACAAGAAAAATCTAAGGGCGTGCTTAAAAGCAGGGATTTGATAGAGAACCCTATCGATGTTGGACAGATATTGCTGTTACTGTTTAAATCGGCACCTTTGCACATAATGCTCAATGGAAAACTTAGAGATTCGTGTTAAATGTCAGCGTTTCGTAAAACGCTCTTTGTAAATAAATCATAAAAACGTAAGAAGGCTGACAAAGCTTCACTCTAAAACTAAGAGCAATGTAGCAATTTGTTTAAATACATACGTAAGTATGTACGCTGACAGCAAACGGCCGATAGCTTTCAAGATACATAGAAGCCAAATGGGAGATTTTTTACTGGAAGGATTACTGTGCATTTCTATAGAATATCAACTATTTTTTACAACTATCCAAATGAAACTAGCTATTGTGTACGCACAATGAGAAAGCATCCGAGAGATCCGCTGTGACATTCGTCGATTTCCCTCAGGTGAACGTCCGTTTCGACGCGTGGATTGAGCCACGAGTCATCGGTGAAATGTTGTACGTCCATTAGTGCGAAATCGATCCCGAGGCTGGCGCAGTGCTTCTGTAGCTCGGGCACAAGTTGTTCATGCAACACCCGTCGTTCGTGCTCGAAATCTCGGAAAGGTTAAAAAAAAAAAAAAAACGATACAACTTTAATAAGACTTTTGATACGTTTGAAAACGTACGTATTTCAACGTTGAGTAAGAACGATAAGCCTTTTAAAAATTCGTTACTATATGTGATAACTAGCACATGTCATCGTTACTGCTACGATAATTCGATAGATGCACCTCGGTGCTGGAATATACGTATACGGCTAGTGGGCGTAGTTCTTCAAATTTAGTATATAATATATAATCTGAAATGCATTGCGACGAAGTAGATCATATTCAATTGAAGATCGAAATTATGATGCATGGATGTACCGTGTTGCTTTTCTCAGCCGCAGCAAAATTCACCTGTCGCATGGGAAATTTGACTGTGGCTACTTATACTATTCCCTATATTTTTTGTCCAGGAAGAGAATTGTGAATCATTTGTCTGCGTGACCCGTAACTAAGATGCACTGCCTACGGAATTTCCCCCGGTGTTTTCTTAACATACGAACACTTGTAACGATATTTATACCAGAGTTTTCAAATGGAGAAGGTGTGTTGATTTAATCCTTTCTAGAAGTTATCCTGAAGAAACGTGTTCGGCATCGAACGATCGCAGTGACAACAGCCAAGGAGATAGTAATTGTGATCTGAAACTGTATGTACAAGTTCGTAGGGTGTAGGTTTCTGTACCCTACCTTTTTCGCTCAAAAAACGTGAATAGATGCAAAGCCATTGTTGTCTATTTTAGGCTATGGAGAAAGCCATGTTCATAAAAATGACACGCATCAGTCAGACCATCTCTGATCTGAAGTAGTTTCACAGTCAAAGGGGATCTTTCCGAGTTAGTCAACCAGATGCCATCTTTGTAACGTATACATTTGCATTTCAGTTAGGAAATAACTTCAGATCGCTCCAATTGGATCAAAATCTCTTCCAATGTTTGTTATATATATATATATATATATAATGATTCACGTGTAAAAAAAATTGCATACGTTTTGCTTTGCACTGAACTTTAAGCATATGCGAAAATTATTTTCCAGACCTCATTTTGAACACAAAGTATTTTAGCCACCAAATCCACCAAAAAATAAAATGTTATTAATAACGATACAATAAAATACCACTAAGGAGACTCGAAAAGAACGTCGATTGCGGAAGCAAAATATCCCTATAAGGGTAAATTGTTCACTGTCAATCAGATTCGGGTCAAAGTGAATACAACTACATGTTTAAGCGCTAAACTAGCTTGAAACCCTAATTAGGCCAATGTTTAGAGCCTTTTACTGAAATAAAAAAAGCAGTAATGTCAGTAGAAAAGAAACGCCTGATTTTGCTATAACGGCACACCTCTGAAGGATTATTACGGCGGAACTAGATTACGCTACGTGAGCTCATAAAGCAATCCACGAATAAAAGATGCTCGAACATGCAGTAAATAAACTAAAAAGCTGTTAAAGCTATTTATTTATATAACCGCAGTACCTGTAGGTTTTTCTATTTGGTATAACTTCGTGCTAATAAAGCCTTTTTTTTTAATACCCTTAATTTTAAAATGGGCGTAGCTCAGCTTTGTGCTTACGTAGAAAGCTCTCAATGGTTAACAAAACCTGTGTTCTCCATAATTTGGGAGAAACTATAATGAACTCCTGTTACAGAGACCATTGCCGAATCTCTCTTGCTGTCTGATAAGCCCGTTAACGGCAAAAGGAGATGAATAACACACGTTGATCAGAGAATCGTTGCTCTGCTGCAAAAATTAGCTCATGTTTACACCTCGTTGGGTGTAAAGACTGCTCGATGAGATGACAGCGAAAGCATCAAAAAACTATCTTCGTTCATTAAAGTTAAGTTTTTAAATTTTCTTCATTAAGTTTTTCTCCTAATTGTTTGGGATGCTTCTCTCGTTCCTTTCCGGCATTCGACGGACGTAAGGACACACTTAATTAGCACCTTTTTTTTTTTATTTCAGCTGTCGCTTCATTGTTTCCGATTTGTCGGAGTCTCCTTACTTAGGCCAGGTGAAGCATTGAGCTTAAGAAATAACTGTTAAGCCTAACAACTAATTTTGTTAATGACTGGTTATATCTGCTGAATGGAACCACAAAACTAAGAAAGAAACAACCGTAAACTTCCAGTAAAAAAAAAAAAAAAAAAAAAAGAATTTTTAAATAAAAAATATACTGCTCAGTGTGTAAGTATAGTTCCTAACTGTAATCCAATTTTCCCTTCACTTCATCTCATTATACCCATTGCGTGTTGTAAGCTCGACTGTCCAAGATATATTTTTATTTTGGTATTCTATCGTATTTTTACATTTCGCTCATTTTATAAAGTAATGAATTCAGTTTAATAGTATAACAAACACAAGTCGGCAAATACCTTTCACAAACAGCGCTTGTGCGAAGCGAAACAGATTGAAATTAGAGAGTGACATTAGATCGTAACTACGACCTAGCTGTATTGAGGTAACAAACTAATAAAACCACTAATAAACAATAACTAATAAAACTAAAAAATAAACTTACTACACTGTAAGCTCGATAGTGTTTCACGTATACGATTGTATTGGGTTTTGTCAGTTGAAATCCAGCCCGACACCAAGCTCTTCGTGCCACACACACTTACACGGCTGTCTTCTGTCACGTGCGACTGCTACACAAATTTCAGAGCATTCGATCGGGTTCAGTCATAAAAAAAAAATGCTCAAAAGTGGTGCTCATGTCACAGAAGACTTTTACAAACCAGGCAGGGAGTAAATGTCGATTCTACAACTGGTGTCAACAATTTTGGAGAGATAACTTTCGTCCTGAGCAATGTAGAAAGGATAACGCATAGCAAAAACAAAGCGGCTCATATTGGAGGGTCGTCGAATCAGACAGAGTTCAGAGTCAGAGAGTTAAATATCTTGCGTTGACACATGTTAAACTGGTGTAAGAAATAATTCGGAGCAGATGAGACTCACAACAGAAACTGTGTCAAAGGCAGCCAAATTTTATGCAAATGCAAACTACTCGACAATCGGTTCACGAGAACCTGAAAGTACTCGAAGATAAGTCGGATTTGTAGTAGCGAGTTATTACGGGTTTAACATGGAGAACGGGAATAACATGGAGAGGAAAGCACAATCGAGGACAGCTTCTAAGTTGAGCCGAGAACGAAAAAAAAAACAGGCCCTAGGTTTTTAGCTAAAGTTCTTCTCGGCGGTTTTTGTCTACAAAGAAAACGTACAACGTCAACACATTTCGAGCAGTTTTACCGTCACTAAAGCGTATCACAAAGAAGTCTTAACTATGTTGCCTTACGCTGTTCGCCAAAAGAAAAAACAGGTCTGAACATTGGGAGAGCAAGCCGTATATTCTTCGCCACGATAATGCGCTGGTTAGTCGATACTTTTATCGGCTTTTTACAGAACGGTTCGCTGCTGGGCTCGCTATAATCTTAATATTCACCGTATTCAGCTCTCTGTGAGTTTCCTTTTGTCAAAGCTCAAGAAGCACCTGAAAGGAATACGCTTTGAGACGGTCGGGGAAATACAGGAAGAAAACGAGAGCAGAGTCGACATCGCATCGTACGACTGACTTTGAAAGCTAACCAAAACGGTAGAATACGTTCAACGTATCCTGTGAGAATAACTTCAAGAACGACAGCTGGGATTTGAATAATTTAAGCAAATGGAGTTGGAATAGAGTCCGAACGCTCGATGCTTTTCTACCCATTAGAATTATATAGTACAAACAATTGTATTGAATCAGGCAGACACCTGATTATTTTAATTAATGTAGGTATAATTAATACTTGGGGACGCATTCGATCTATATTCTACTCCATCGAAACGTTAATATAATTACATTTGAAAACACTTTAAGTTGTTCTCTAGGGTTTCGACCTAGGCTATGTCCTGTCCTGTTGGTGATGACAAATAACGTCATAATGCGATCAAGAATTTTTCAGCAAGCGGCACAACACACGGGACAAAGAAGGATTCTTAAATGAAATTTCACTGCGGCAGTAAAAGCAGCGGCAGCAACTATGAGAAACGGCCAATCGAGCTCTTCTGTCAGTATGAAATCGGTCCTATCGAATACGTGACTCAACGTTGCCGTATGAAACTCAAAGCTGAAATCGGTTAGACTTCGAAGCTTTTGATTGTCAAGAGACAACAATGCCTAAAGATTCCTCAGAAGTAGCGTCATCTAGACAGTCCTATCGTATGTGTGCAACATAACGCTAACGGTCTTCCAACCCGTTAGCGTTATGTTGTAATATCGATGGTACAAAATGGCTTGTTTACAACTGCAATTTCTTAACTATGAGGTGAACACGAAAATTTCCGGTCTGATAGGGCCTGTTAAGTCGATAATTGACTGAACAGCCATAAAAAGCATCGTTTTAGGTAATGTTTTTCGTCTGGACTAAATGGAAGAGGTTTTTAGCAGTGGCACTGAAACTCAAATATTTCTTCGATCAAACTTGATCATCTTTTAATAACGCATTATTTCACAATGGAGAACTATAACCATGACGAAAGCTATTTGAAATGCTCACTCTGAAGCATTCTGTGGAGGTTGGCACGTACTCAACACTATGTCAGGCTTAAAGCATAGGATAACGGAGTTATCGTATATCGGAATCAAATTATGCCTTTAGCTACCATTATTTATGTTATAGTACTTAGAGTCCAAAATGGAATCACATCCCACGAACAAGTCAGGGCTTAGCCGCAGGCGTGACTATTGCGACACATCTTACACGTCGCTTCGTCCACAGAAAAGGCACAGGTACCACGTGTCCATATCTCACTATTGCGACAGACCGATGGAAACAAACATGATATATAATACTTTACTTAGCGACTAGAACTTTACAATGTGAGCCTGGTCTTCGTCGAACTCTTGAAGAAGACCAAGCTATGGCAGGAGCCCGTACGTGTAATCATATCTTCCATGCACGTGTAATCATATAGATCCAGCGTGATTAATAACATAGAGAATGAAAACTAAGAGTCAATCGCGG